CAACTCCTTAGCTTTTTGGACTCCTTCCATAACTGCAAAGATCTCAGCTCTAAGGGARTCACCCACTCYARKTGGGYCTSAGARCATGGCAGAAATGACCCCATTTTCATCCCTAAAAACACCCCCAATTCCTGATTGTCCCGGATTTCCCCTACTACACCCATCAAAGTTTAGTTTCACGAAACCACTAGGTGGAGATATGTAGTTCAATGATGACTCTCAACTTGGAGTTTAAAACTGATTTCCAACATGCCTCTGGTTCTCAACTTGGGTTGTAGGTCACGTTGAAACCAGTTGGAAGTAATCCTGTGTGAGAAGGATTCATACAATAATTCCTCATTTGTGTAACCACACACCTCTTTTCTAATTTCTTTCCTTTTTCAATTTCCCACTCGTTCTTTTGTTTTGCAATGTGCTATATTTTTGTCAGCATTCTTCATAACAAGGTCTTGCTGCCTTACCCATCCTGTTACTGTTGGACTTGGCATATGGTATAGGTTGCCTTTTCTTTCTGGAGGTTGTTAAGGTGTAGGTTCAGTGATCAACATGGTCTTCTATTGTTTTGGTGGGTCAACTGGGTAGTTGGTTAGCTGCCATTGCTATATGTCTTTGGAAGTTTGGATGGGAATCTCACTTCCAATGTAGAGACCTGAACCCATCATGGGTCCTTTTCTAAGCTGCTTGCACATGTTACATTGTATGATATCATGTTGTTGCTTGAGACTCCATCTTAGATGCAATGGTCATGAAGAACTTATTTTTTGATATCACCTCAAAGGGCATTTTCTTTTCTAGTTCTAAATGGAGGACCATGTTTGTGAAAAAGGGGACTTTGTTAGTGAGTGGGAGATTATCACTTAATGGTGGGGGTAGGAGGGCTTACTAGCCAATGTTAACTGGGTGACAGGAATTGGTTTGGAGACTGGACTTACCAATCCATTGCTCAATTTGGAAGCTATATTCAAGCAATTTTGATTTTTGAACTTCCTCTCTAGATGAATTTGATCTTTATATGAGATAGCCTGTATTCTTAATCTGGTATAGGCCCTTCGGAGGACCATGTAGATTCAAGAGAGCCTAGAATAGAGTTGCTACATTATGGGTTACCAAGTTAGACTCTTATTCAATGATATAGACTGCTGTTGTAACGAAGACTGCCTAAAAGGGAATATAGCAACTTGGTAAGACTTAAGACTCCTCAGGAATGTATTTGACTGATAAGTCTTCACTTAAGCTGTGCCTAGCTCTCAAGCAGTGTGGTTAAAGTGTTACCTTGGCAATTGACTTGCCTAGTTAGAAGTCAGAACCCTATTGACTATGTTGGGATCTAGATAGTTGTTTGCTAATTAGGTGGTGAACTAGGTCTTATGCCACTGGTCCATCAGGCTTTCTTAACATAAATATATTACATCTGAGCTCTTCTTTTAATATCAATTTTGATTGACTTTTCTATTGTCCTATTTAATTATACATGCCGATTTAAAAAATAAATATAAATAACTATCTACATGAGCAGCAAGGTTTTTATGGTGGTACCAGATGGGGTGGGGGATATTTGTGCGAAGGAAAAACATAGAAGTTATATTCTTCATTATTGTTTGTGCACTTTGTAGCTCAATTCTTTACTTTTGAGATTTAATAAGCATATATAAATTGCAATCATGTAGGTAGAATCTATATATTGCCCTTCTTGATGACCTACCTTGATTGGCCAAGATGCATAGGCACATCCCTAGATGTGTTGACTGTCATGCTGCTTTATAAAAGGGTTTCTTCTCTGCATGTAGAAATCATAGCATGACATGCCCAAACTTTGAAAATTGTATCAGATTTGGAGATTCCAAAAGGTAGGTTAGAATCCATACCGGGATTTAAATCATAACAAGGTCATAAGGCAAGTTCAATTGGAAAATAAGTGCAGCATATGAGTGTGCAGTGTGGAATGATACTTAATCTGAGAGATTCAGTTATTGAGGAATGAGAATCTCATTCAGATTGGTTGTATTCACAGGAAGTAGGTGTGGTGGTTCTATATTAACTGGTTATGGGATTTGGGGTCTCAGATTTGTATAATCCTTCATCAAATTTCAAGGAGTTCCTTTACTGCTTTGTTAGGGGCCATTGGCCATTGCTTGGTGTGATGGAAAAATCTTGTGATGACAAATCCGGGTTCAAATCTTACAGTGGCCACATTGTACAAAAATATGCCAAAGGTTAGGTATGTGTCCAGTCCACTCCTCTCAAGATCTTGGATAGTCAGGATTGGCATTGGGCAATAGCCCTTTCTTGCCCTTTCCTTGGCTGCTTCACTCTCATTGGGGATGAAAACAGAACTTCACCAGATAGGAGAAAAGCACTTATTCAAGATTACATATAGCCTTTCCTTGTGAAGAAGCTGTAGGGCTTGGCATTACCAACTACTTATACAGCTCATCTGATGTCTTGGATACAGTATTCCATTTCACAAATCACAACCGATGATGCCCAGGTACACATACCAATAACCAACTAGGATGTGCGTGTGGGAGATGGTGATACTAAATTTTCTAAGATTCTAATCACTTGTCCGCTTTAATATGCCATATATCTATATCTAATTTTTGAATCTTAGCATCATTTCTCAACGCCTGTCTTGCCAAATCTAATTAAGCTTCTAACACATGCAGATCTTTTGTAGTATAACTTGTTTTTACATGTAAGTGTTAATGCTATAAAGTATACACTGTAAGTGTCCATGTAGTATCCGGTGTTGTACCCGTATATATTGTCTGACTAGTATGCTAGTGCTAGGCATGTAAGCATACTTGGATATCATGGTTTGTATATCGTAATTGCTAATTTGTTATGATAGAATATGCTCCTGAAACCAAATCTCTGAGAACATCCTAAGTCCGTCTGGCATAGTTCGTAATCATGGAATTCTAATGATTTTATTCAAGTTTAATCTTGTTGGTTGTGTTGCACATCCTCCTAGAACTTTACTCTGAGTAATGCTGAACAATGCCAAGGCTCTGGCTTTCATCCGCCACCATTTCCTTTGCTTAATAGCTTCACCTGTCTTTGAAACGTGACATGCGGCCGCTCCTGGGAGGCAAATTGTCACCGAAGAGCTCCTTTAAATGTTTCAATAGTTACAGCGTTTCTGACTTAGAGTGCATGAAGCATTCTTGTGGCTGACCGCTCTGTCCACAGTTTTACCAATCGAAGCAAACTAATCTCCTTTGCTGGTTTTCTTCTTGGCTGTAGAGGAGATATGGACTATTCTAACATAAGGGAAATTCAAAAGAATTTTGCCCTGGGACTGCTATTCCAGGTTCTCCATGAGTAAGTATGTAGCTTGGTTTTATAAACTACGCTACTTCAGAGTTCAGACTGTAAGCTCATCATGAGCATCGTTCAAAATATTGAGCATCGAGTATTTGAGACTTGCGATCCGCAAAAGTTGCGTATTGCGCGATTTCAAAGGGTTCGAACTCACGCATTAAAATCGTTTCGTTTATTTTTGGTAGAACATTAAAATCGTTTCAGGTTTCAAGCTTTGAACCAGGCAACTGGTTCTGTTTCACCCTGACCCGGTTCTTTGCCAAAATCCATTATTTGGTCAGTGACATGTTGACTCAGGTGATTGAACCATAGACCTGAACAACGGTTTTTTGACTTTTTTTGTTTTAATTATTTATTATTATTATTTTTTTAAATTACAATGAATCGTCCATTGGACCATTCAGACTGGGCAGTTGAACTGTTGACTTGAAAGTCGGTAGCTAAGGTGGTTTCGATTCTTGGTCGGTTTTGAAAACCGTGGCTGCAACAACTGTATTGGTTGACTCGTGTCAAATTGTCAATGCCACCAGAATTCAGTATTGAAGCATGTAGCAAGTAGGAGAAAGTAAGGTTAATATGCCATGGGTTTCATTTGTATCTCAACATAGCTCTATTGTTATCATTTTACCACGGTAGCAGTAGCAATTGTTGCCACGGATTGTTTTCTGGTAATGGATGTGAAAGTTAAATGCCATGGGTTTCATCATTGTTTTCAAAACCAGACTGGATGGTTGGACCGGAAAACCGGGAACTGGTCAGGTGACCGGTTCCATTTCCCCCCAAAACCGGATTTTTTCAAAAAAAATTGATTTTGGTCAATAAACTGCTGAACTGGGCGGTTAACCGTTTGAAATGTTTGAACGGTTTTGACCGTTTTTTATTTTTGTCAGAATGGGTCAACTGTTTGACCTGGTAATCGGACCCCTGATTGATTTGATCTCCGGGTTGGTTTTAAAAACCATGGATTTCATATTCATTTGTGCCTGTAAAGGTAAACTATGGTTTCCTTATTCACATTTTCAGATTAGCCGGATAACAGCCTATTATTGTACAAAAAGTTGATTGTGTTGAAGCTTGGCTGTTACGAGCACGTTGAAACTGTATTCTCTCCTTTTTATTTCTTAACTAACCAACATCATAGATTTTCCCTAACAAAATCACCCTCATTTTTCTTATTTCTTCATCTGCACCAAGGATGTTTTCTTCGAACATTAAGGTCCTGCTTGGCAACATTTCGCGAGAACGTTTCATGTGTTCTTGGTGTTTTCATAGAGCAGAAATGCGTTTGGTACAAGAAAAAAAGAAAAAAAAAAAAAGATGTTCTTGCATGAAAATAGCGCCCAAAGAATGCGTTCTTTGGGAATAAAAAATTGATGCTCCCAAAGAACGCGTTCCCAAGGAACGCAAGGTTCCCACGACATTAACCCCTATTAACGAACACATGTTAACGATTCCCACGTGAGAGTAAGGGTATTTTGGATATTTTACACTAAATGATAGTAAGAAGTCTTACCAAACATTTTCGTTCAACAATGAACTCTAACTTGCCACTGCAAATCTCAGGAGGGACTCCCTTAGCTCTAACTGGACGGCGAGTGAACGGTAGAAAGCACTGACGGCATTTCCGGCTAGAAACGCATCAACAAGTATAGTACCAAATAAAGAAGTCAAAGGTTAAAATTTTTAGTTTGATGGATTAAGTTTCATAGAAAAAACAAGTCTGGTATTTGTTGATGTTTTTTATTTTATTTTTTGTTCAATGGATTAAATTTCATTATCCAAACGCTATTTCTGTTCTTGTAAAACAAAAATTCGTTCTCAAAAAACAATTTTCCAAACATATCTGTTACTCCTAAAAAGCAAGAAATAAAATTCTTGTTTTTGGAACATGAATTTCTATAAGAACATTGCCAAACATGGCCTAAATGGACCGTTCTCTTTTTTTTTTCTTAGGTTCAAAAAATGAATTATCATCCATACCCAAAGAAAAAGAATAACTTTTCTGTTTACTCATTGTTCTATAGAACACGACAACACGTTTATCCCCCGAAATTTGATTTTCCTGGAGAATACAGAACAGAAGGCCACCATCACCATACAACCGACTTGCACTTGCATTTTTATGGCAAATTGGCAATTTAATGCACGTCTAGCGAATCAACATCCATTTAACTAGGTTTTATAGAGTATATTATCTGATGCAACAAAATTGAACTTCGTATGGCTTAAGGTAAGTGCGCTTAAATCCAATCCAATTACAGCCAGATGTCTTCTATAAAACCTGCCCCGATCCCGAGGAACGTCATTGAACTAATTAATGTGTCCAATACATGAATTCTATAGTCGTAGATTTGAGTTTCTGCAGTCTTGGTAGGTTTTAAAATGGGATTTTGTCTTAGACTCAAAGCAGTTGGATTCATCAGCCCTTGCTAATGCTACAAACAACCATAAGATCACTTCATCATCTGTAATTTGACATGGACTATTGGGTTTCATCAAGTTGGTGAATGGTAAAAATATCAATGCATATCAAGTTTTTCAGCTGAGTGGCTGTGGCATATAAGAGGTAGAACCCCGATATTTAAAAAGAATTCCGCCGTTTCCATGAGCATTGGATTATCAAAACCATACGCAATTACATGGACCAATATTGATAACTGGTGGATGCTCTTCCACAATACCAATATACCATTACTTGATTCTTGACTTGAACGACAGGACTATCAGTCATTTCTTTCTACCAAACCAGAAGAATTAAGAACCAATGGCTTTCAGAATTTAATGAAAAAGACTGTTCCCCAAGTTTCTAGTCCAAAGCCTCTAGATTTTGGAAATTTGGAAGAACAAGAGACATCAACATGTATAGTGTGAATCCCTCAACAGAGCTATACAAAAATAAAATTAAAAAGAAAAAAAAAAACAGCTTTTCAAAAGTTGTCATCAGCAGGTCTTCAAAGCCCTTTGATAAGCTATGACTTGGGAAGAGGTGATTCCGTTGCGCAGAACTGAGACAAACATTTTGGGGGAGGGGGGAGGTTGACACTTAACTTTGTTTACCAAAAACAGAAAAAGAAAAATTGAATCTTAAATGGGGAATGCATTGGCTTTTTTCTGGTTTTCTTCGTTTTAACTAGCACTGGATTTTGAACTGAAAGTAGTTCTATGCTAATTTTGTCTAGTATGGAAAATGTATTGACGTGTCAGAGGGCATCAACCAGTCCTGCACCATCTCCAACAAATCCCTGAGCCCTAAGTCCTGACACCCTGGTGTATAAGTACAACAAGACAAAAAACCACTTTTTGTATCCCATAGGCCTTTGCTCCCACAAGGATGCAACTGCCTATTAACACCACCTTCCATCAACAATGCTGCCAAGACTTACGCCCGGTAGAAGGGATTTCTTTGGGCATATTGATTATAGTAACAATAGTTCTGGTTGTATCCCTGTTTATGTAATGTGGGAGCTACTGTTGGATTAGTATAAGGTCTGGAAGGCTGCACTCTCATTGCAGTTGAAGCCGAGCCTACCTCATAACCAGAAGGACAATGGTGCACCTCCCTATTAGCATGCACCCTAGAGAATGCATCCTCATGGGGAGGTGGAGCCCATCTCAGGGGATAATGGGTATATTGGTGAAGCATAGGAACTCCATCTTTGGCAGGGTTGTAAGATCCAAGATTGCTTGATGATTTGGAATATCTTGGCTTTGAGACTCTTTTCATTTTTTCTGGTCCGAGAAATGGGGCCTTTCTGCGGCAATCAATATGCTTTTGTTTTTGCAATGTGGTTGTTGGAAAAGATTCCTGCCTTTGAGGCTCTTTTGGAGTCCTTGTATAATGGGAATTTCTCCGGTGCTTAGGACCTAAATGAACAAAGATAAAGTTAGAACCAAGAGATTTCTATTATTGCAGTTAAAAAAAGAAAGCCATACATACACATAGAATAGACATGAAGAATTTGTTTCAACAAACCTCCATTTGCAGATCGAGACTTCTTCATTGCTCTGACATGCCTTGCTTCTGTTCCTCTCTGGTGCTTCTCAGCTAGAACTTTAGCTCTTTCTGCTTCATTACTCCAGGGCTAGAACAAAATATGTAACATGCTAAGCAAATCAATAGACATAATAAGCCAATGCCAAGAAAAGCTGCTTCAGTATCCATATATATTAATGTTTTAACCTGTCGGAATGTCTTCAGTCTATAGAGGTTCCGGCCCTTGACAAGCAAAGGAAATAAAGGTGGCAATTTCTTTGGACCCTTGCTCCAAAGTACTTCAACCTTATAAACCACAGAAGAAATAATCACCAACTGACTAAAAACATGGAATATCTAAGAAACGAAATAAGCAGCCCACAGAAATGTTAGCAGGAGAAAAACAAGGACATCTTTCTTTTTCTTGTACGGTTGTACCCCTTATAAATGTAACACATATCCCAAATATTGGGTGTGGGACCCACTGTACTGACAAACTTGAAGTGACATTTTGGCCCATGAGTGGTGTATGATGCATTTGTAAGGGGTATAAGGAAAAGAACTTAGATATTTAGAATTGCAGTATTAGTGGCATACATGCAGGTCAGAAAACATCATTCAATGGGCCAAACAAAGGAGATTTATTGGTTCCCAAAATCGGCCAATCCCCCCAAATCAGTCTTACAGTGAATGTATGCTGTTGTTTGGCTTCACCATAACTTTCCTTCAAAATCCTGCCAGCAATGGTTCGCCTCCCGATAACATTGCTGCTCCTTGTCACCTTGTCAAATCTATTTGAATCATAGTACAAGTAAATAGAGTTACACATCATAGTGGAAAGTGAAATAAGTCCACAGACTGCAAAGAAAAGAGTAAAGGAAAAAACATGCAACCAGGGGCAGAGCCAGGGGGTGGCAGAGGAGAGCCATGCCCCCCCTATACCTTCAAGATTCCCATAAAATCTATTTAAGTTCCACTTATATTTATTTTAGCCCCCTTACCCATGTTTCCTAGCTTTTGCCCCCCCTATCCATGTTTTTTAGGTTTTGGCCCCCCTCAATAAAAACTCCTAGCTCCGCCCCTGCATGCAACAGGAAACTCTATGTACCTCTCATAAACCCTCTGTTTGAACAGAACAATATCACCTTTACAGACATCACCTGAAACATAAATGGACTTCTCAGTTTGTACCTAATAAATGCTACTGCATCTAAAGAGATGTGAAAGTGCACATACAAATCACTCAACCTGTGCAGTCAATAGCAAAGGATGACCTTGGATACAATCTCTCACCATTTCCATCTTTTATCCTGGAATGCATAGAGGGTAACACAATAATTCTGTTCTTTTTTTTTTTGATAAATAACATCAATTCCATTAAAATAATGAATAGATACAAGAAGATCCCCTTAGAGGCGTGAGGAGCAGCCTCTCCAAACAGCAAATACACAAACTA